GCGCGCGAGCCCCGGGAACCCCCGAGGCCTCGAGCAGTCTTGGGTCGGGGGGAGGCGAGGCTGGGGCCCCAGCCTCGGCTGGGTTCAGCCGGACCCTACCTGCGCCGGGTGTCCGGGTGTCCTGGCCCGGACAGGGCGTGGCGGGGAAGCCGGTGCCCAGCTCGACCTGGCGGCCTGATGCTGCGGAGTCGCCCTTTGTATGCGTGCTGCATCCGCCTCCGGATCGGGGTGGGCACGGTTAAACTGAGAACTGCCGCGGATTATGAAACGTCATGTGGTTCTGCCCCTGGAAAAAGGGCTCCTGCCACCTTAGGGATTGGAAGTGAGGTGTTGTATGCGGACTTGCATCGCTGGGCAGCCTGGTCAGAGCAAACGTGCCTGCCTTTTACGTTGCCACGGATTCAGTGTCAGGCTTCACGCCTAGCTGTCTGAAACCCCAACTGGGATACTAGGTCATAGGGAACTCTGGATATGTGTTCCATGAAGGAAAAACGAATACTTTGATTACTTGTACTTGTGCATTTGTCAAAGATGATAAGATGTTCTTAGGACTTCATTTTTCTGCATCTCAGTTTTGCCATCTGTGTTTCCTGAAAATATCCCTGCCAGTCACAACAGTGATGAGAGCATGGGAAAGCATCCAAATTTCTAAAAGAATAAAATTTGTGGGGAAGAAAATATTTTTGTGAATTGAAAATACCAGCTGGAAATCAGGACTAACCTGGCATGGTGACACAGGTCTGTAATCCTGGCACTCTGGGAGGCTGAGACAGGAGAATTGCAAATTTAAGTCTAGCCTGGGCAATTTAGTGACTTTAGCGAAACTTTTGTGTCAAAATTAGAAATAAAAAAAAGGGGATAGGGATGCACCTCATTGCAAAGGCCTTGAGTTCAGTCCCCAGCAGTGGGAATAGAATTGGAACTTTTAAATACGTTTGTTATTCATACTGAAACAATGGCATCCTCACCTGTGTGAAAGGGAAGAGAACTTTTAAGGCAGCTGTGTACTACAAAACTACAATTGGAAAGAAAGACAGAAAGAGGGTTGAAGTAGATGAAAGGATCCAGCAGGTCCTTCGGTATCCCCATATTTTTATTGTATTGTACCTGTCATGTTTGTTATGGGTGACCCTGGCATCTTCAAACTCTTAACTACTTTTTTATTCTGAATATTTTTGCTTGAAATTTATCCTTAGACCATACCTACTAGCTGCCACTTACATGAGACACCTAAACATGTCTGTGACCACACTCATCTCCCCCAAACATTCATTCTCCAAGAAGTCCCAAAAGATGTCAGGAGCACGGCACAGTTGCAGGACTCTGAGACGTCTATAAAATGTGGCTGGAGTGGCACAGTAGTTTGTAGCAGTATGGGTGAGGGAACATAGAACTATAGGGTGTAGTTAACTTGGCTGGGAGAGACTTGCAAACCACTCTTGGTTTTCCAGGGGAAGGACACAATTGTGTAGTTTTTTTGACTAGGTGACGCTTGCCTGTAATCATAGCACTTGGGACACTGAAGCAGGAAGATCAGTTTGGTGGAGGCCTGCTAGAACTATATGTATAGTGAGACACTGTCTCAAAAGGCAAACAAACAACAAAGACCTTGTAAGTGATACTGAACTCTTTTCTCTGCTTTTAGCTACAAAAGACCCCACGGCTGTAGAGAGAGCCAACTTGCTAAACATGGCTAAACTGAGCATCAAGGGACTCATTGAATCTGCCCTGAGCTTTGGCCGCACGCTGGACTCGGACTATCCACCCTTGCAGCAGTTCTTTGTCGTCATGGAGCACTGTCTGAAACATGGCATCAAAGGTAGCCTGCCGTTGCAGAATACTACTTCACTTTAGGA